ACTTGGGGCTCACCCTCCTCGTCTCGGCAGGTTTCTCACCCGGTTACAGCCCCCCAGGGAAGTTCCTCGTTGCTCTGCCGCCAACCCGGCTCGCTCTCAGCAGAACCGACACCTTCGTTTCTTCACCGAGCGCCACACGGAGTCACACAGCCAGCCGAAAAGAGGAGGGACCCGCCGGCATCACAGCCCATGCCCGGCCTCCTTGGGGCACCGAGCGCCGTCACAGCGCAGCGGGTGACCTTACAGTGTCCCATGCCTGGGGACGGCACCGTGCCACTGCATGGAGTCAGCCGCGAGACACGCCGGGAACCGGTGACGAGCCATTCGGCAACGCCGGTTGCCCAGGGCACGCAGTGACTGGACTGGGTTAGGAGCGAACCGCACCGCACGGCAGCTGGGGCGCCGCACGGACCCAGGGCACCCCCCAGAGCTATTTGGGGGGCTTTGGGCCCCCAAAGCACATTTAAACCCCCGCAGCACATCTCGGGCTTGGGGCTGGTGGTAGCACCCATGGCAAAAAGGCACCTGCCCCGGGCACACGCTCGGCGTGCCGGCACACACGCTGTACAGGGGAGTCACGCCGTTGTTGCATCACATTTATACCCTAAAACGAAGGCCCTCGTTAGTTTAAGCAGGTCAGGAGTCCTCCTCCCCTCAGAGCACCGGATCGGGGGCTGCATGAGAGCCACGATCGCGGATCCGATACCACCCCTGTGGTTTTCCGGACAGGGTCCAGCCCCGAAGCTGGTGGCTCCATGCGGCACTGGGCCACAGCTCCCTCTCCCCTCCAGAGAGCTCACCAGCCGGCGTCACCACGGAGCGGCTTTGCTTGGTTACGGTTCCCAAAACAGTGAGGCGGTGCGGCGTAAACACGGGATACCAGCCGGAACCTCCCGTCTATTCCCGGCACGGCCGTGACTCACGCTCTGGCCCCGGGCGGGCGGCGGAACAGGGAGCCCTCGACGGGGCCCGTCGGCCACCAGCGCTCAATGGGAGGGTTTTAAATTCCTATTGTAAAATGCAAATAGCTTAAATTAAAAAAAGTGTTGAGCGACTGCTGCTCTGCAATCTGACATGGCCCTGACTCCTCCAGCTGGGGAGGGGAGGGCACTATATACTGTATAGCTTCCCCCCAAGTAGAAAAGTCATATCAATTCAGCTTCTAGCGAAGGTATGTCTTGGTACAAACAGCCTGTAGCCACCTCCATGCAGGAGAGAGGGGTGAAAAAAATCAGAATAAAGCACCCTGGTTCTCCAGCCGCTCCTCCTGCCCCGGGAGCTGAGCCACATCAGCTCCACGGAGAAGTCAGAGCGTGCCGGGCGCCAGGCCGGGGCCTCTTGCAGCCCGGCACGTCCCAGGAGAGGGAACGGATTTCTCCGGTCTTGTAAACCTTGCGAAAGCAGAGTTTTGGAGAAGCTCACACCAGGAGCTGCAGCTGCATCACAACAGAATGTCAATGGGCAGCACACGGTAATTACGTGAACACAGAATGAAAGCATAAAAAAATTAAGACAAATAATCCTTAGTCTTGATGGTTGCTGTCGTGAGCAGAAAAAACACCGAGACCAACAGAAGTGTTTGCCGAAAGCCATGTTTCAAGCGGACGGTGAAGTCTCCGGTGCTCCTTGGCCTCATCCAGACCGGTTTTGGCACCATGGCACCGGTGCCGACCAGTAAACGAACCCACAAACCGC